TTGCATCGATTCTAAGCTCATATTTTTTATCTTTTTCAAAATCTATTGGACCTGAAACAAATAATTCACCAGAGACTTGATCTATGGACAACAAATCAGCTATATTGCTCTTCACGTTTGAAATCGAATATGTGATGTAACCATTCGACCCACTGTCCGCGTCTGTAGCATTAACAGTGACGATATTAGTGCCCTTTGCTGCATTCTCAATCACAGTGGCTTTATAAACTGACTGGTTGAAAACGGGAGCATTGTCATTTACATCTAAAACCTTTATATCTATGTTTACGGTGCCAGATCTCTGTGGAGTCCCGCCATCTACTGCTAAAAGCTTTAAAGAGAGATGCGGGACCTCCTCTCTGTCTAATTGTTTCTGAAGCACCATCTCTGCATACTTACTTCCGTCTGGATTAACATGCTGCTTTAAAACAAAATTATCGTTTGAGGTTAAAACATAATTCTGCAGGCCATTCACGTCAACATCAGGATCCTCCGCACTGTCCAGCACAAATCGCGCCCCAAGGTTAGCCGACTCGCTTATGTCTAACATGATATCTGATTTCTTGAATACTGGAGGATGATCATTCACATCTAACACTTCAATTGTTATGTGATGTAGCTCCATAGGATTTTCTAAAATCATTTCAAAGCTGAAACTGCATGGTGTTACGTCTCTACAAAGCTGCTCTCGGTCTATTCTCTCATTCACAACTAGAATCCCTTTGTCTGTATTCAGGTCGGCGTAGTGGATGTTTTCTCCGGTCACGATACGGGCACGGCCAGAGCGGAGTCTTTTCAAATCCAAACCAAGATCCTGTGCTACATTACCGATAAGAGAGCCCTTCTTCATCTCCTCTGGTATCGAGTAGCGGATCTGACCTGCGACGATGTTAAAGAAGTAAAACAAGAAAAGAGCCATTACCCGTTGCGGTCCGAAATACAAACGCCAATTGCCAAGTGATTGCTGAAACGTCATGCCAGAGACGGACATTTTCAGAGAAAAAAGAACCGAAATCCTCCAAGCTGAATTATTAACATCAAATCTTCCAGGTGTGCTCTGTTTATATATTAGAAAAGAGAAACACGGCGGCAGGACGAAACGAGACGCCCTTCTTTTCCGAGCTGTAAACGTTTCCTGATGTTTCCTCTAAGCCTACTTCAGTGCGGTCTTACAAAGAACGCCAATGAACTGCAACAGAGAGATCATGGGCAGACAATATATTCTTGTTCAACAGCGTCACTTAGAGTTCAAAACGTGAACACCACACGATTTAGAAGTAAATATTGAAGAAAGTATGCAAAGAAAAGAAAAAAGATAAATATCGTGATGCGTGATACCATGACTAATGGCTTTAAGAAATACAATGATAATTGCATTACATTTTCAAGTATGGCAGTTTATATGTGCAAATGCTGTAAAGAAGAAGAAGAAGAAGAAGAAGAAGAAGTAGCATTCCCATTATTATTAGTATTGGAAATTGTGGTAGTATTTAAAAAGAATCTCGAATAGGAATTTATGAGATAGCTGGAAAGCTTCCAAGCCAGTAGCACTTTAAGATAAATAAAGATAAATGGGAGCTGTCCACGCGGTGGTGCTGAAAAGAACTGCGTGCACTTGGTTTCGGTTAAATTACAACCAACTACTTATTGAAACTGAATTCCAGCTTACACAAATAGCATAAGCAGAAGTGAAGACCTTGCCTATTGCACCTCACCTCTAGAGGAGAGTCTGGCTCATCCAGGATGCTCGTTTCACTCTGTATCCGCTGCATCGTCCCTGTAGAACTGGGGTCCATTATCAGCACGTTCTGACTACCAGCTCTGCCGAACTTACAGTCACTCTTTCTGGAGTCAGTCGTCCTGCACACCTCGTAGTTGTACACGTGCTGGAGAGTCCCTGTCCCCAAAGTGTCTGAGTAACGTGGTGGATAATAGGGATCACAGGGAGATTGGAGTGATACAGGACGCGAGACTGTCTCCATCTGTAGATTTTCACTGATATAATAACCACTAAACACGTGATGAAGAGGAAGGAAACTACAGCCAAAGCCAGCACTAAGTAAAAAGTCAGGTTGTCATTGTACTCCTTGTCGTGTGTAAAGTCAGTGAACTCCGACAGCACTTCAGGGAAGCTGTCCGCCACCGCCACGTTAACAATGACTGTAGCTGAACGAGAGGGCTGCCCGTTGTCCTCCACTATAACAGTCAGTCTTTGTTTCACAGCATCTTTATCAGTCACTTGGCGGATAGTTCTTATTTCTCCATTCTGTAAGCCCACTTCAAACAGCGCCCTGTCTGTGGCTTTCTGCAGTTTATAGGAGAGCCAGGCATTCTGTCCAGAGTCCACATCAACAGCCACCACTTTAGTGACCAGATAGCCCACATCTGCTGAACGAGGCACCATTTCAGCCACCAGAGAGCCACCAGTCTGGACTGGGTACAGAACCTGAGGGGGATTGTCGTTCTGGTCCTGGATCATTATTTTCACAGTCACATTGCTACTGAGTGGAGGGGAGCCTCCATCCTGCGCTTTGACGACAAAACCAGCTGTTTGATTTGCTCATAATCAAATGACCGCACTGCATGGATCACTCCGCTTTCTGAGTTTACAGAAACATATTCAGAAACTGGAGATCCACCGATATTAGTATTTTCCAGAATATAAGATATACGGGCATTTTGGTTTTCATCGGGATCTTTAGCCCTGACCGTGAGAACAGAAATACCTGGAGCGTTGTTCTCTGTGATAAACGCATTGCAAACACCTTCTGAAAACACTGGAGCATTATCATTCACATCAGATACCTTTAAATGAAATGTTCTTTTTGTTGAGAGAGGAGGAATTCCTGTATCTGTCACAACTACAGTGATGTTATACTCTGAAACACTTTCTCGATCTAATACAGTATCTGTTACCAAAGTATAGTAATTTCTTAAGTGAGATTTTATTTGAAAAGGCGCATTTTGTTCGATTCTACAATGTACTTGTCCGTTATCACCTGAATCGAGGTCTTTTACATTTATAATGCCAATAGTTGTGCCAGGAGGGGAGTCCTCTGAAACAGGACTTGTGAATGACATAACACTTATCATAGGAGAGTTGTCATTTATATCAATCACTTCAATTATCACTTTGCTTGAATCTGTCAAACCTCCTTGATCTTTTGCCTCTATTCTGAGTTCGTACTTTCTATCTTTTTCATAATCAATTAAACTTCTTATAAAAATAACACCACTTGTTTCATCTACTGTAAACAAATCACCGAGACCACTGTTAAGATCTGAAAAATAATATGTTACAATACTGTTTGTCCCGGAATCTGCGTCACTAGCGTTAACTGTGGTCACATATGTATCTCTGGGAGCGTTTTCCATTACTGTGGCTTTGTACACAGATTGATTAAATACAGGCGCATTATCATTGATATCAAGAACAGTGATATCTATATTTACTGTACCAGATCTTTGTGGAGTTCCACCGTCTACAGCTATTAGCTTTAGAGACAGATTAGGATTCGTCTCTCTGTCTAGAGGCTTCTGTAACACCATCTCTGCATATTTCTTTCCATCTGCATTAGAGTTTTGTTTCAGAACAAAATTGTCATTCTCGGTCAGAAAATATTCTTGGAGTCCGTTGATTCCCACATCGGGGTCTTCTGCACTCGTCAATGGAAAACGAGCCCCAGTATTAGCTGATTCGCTGATTTCAAAATGGATTTTATCTTTTTTAAAAGAGGGCGAATGATCATTTATGTCTATTATTTCAACAGTGATTTGATGAAGCTCCATAGGGTTCTCTAAAATCACTTCAAAGCTGAAACTGCATGGTGTTACGTCTCCGCAAAGCTGCTCCCGGTCCATTCTCTCTTTCACGACTAGAATCCCTTTGTCTGTCTTCAGCTCGGTGTACTGGATGCTCTCTCCGGTCACGATACGGGCCCGACCAGAATGGAGCCTTTTTAGATCCAAACCAAGATCCTGTGCTACATTACCGATTAGGGAGCCTTTCTTCATCTCCTCTGGGACTGAATATCGGATATGTCCGCTGACCAATTGGTTGAAATAAAAAAGGAAGAACAGAAGATGCCAAATCTGTCCGCAACAAATGCGCCATTTTACGCACCGAGTGGAGGCTCGTATTCCACACGTCATGGCAAAAGGAAATCACGGAGATATGCTCTGCAACGATCCAAGTACGACACTTATTCTGAAAAACTAAACTGAATGTACGTCTAAAGAAAAATGATGCTGACGTTTCAATGTACTGTATACATCAGAATGGAGATATCAATGAATGCGAGTCTGTTTTCCTCGAATGTCAGCCAATATAATGCACACCATCCCCCTTTCTCTCATAGGTGGTGAGGGAGGGGACTGTGAGGTAATGTTTTAGAGATAATGTTGGATTGACCAACAGCGTCCCTTAGAGTACAAAATCAGTAAAAGCATGCAACATAGATTTCTGGAAATAGACTGATTACATGTGGTTGGTGGATACTTAAAATATTATCTAAAAACATTTCAACACAGTATTCCGAAAAAAAAAACCAAAACCAAAAACATTGAAATCTAATTAATACAACACAGAGACTTAGTATCATAATCATCTTATGTAATTAGCACTAAAGAAATATATGGATAAAAACATCATTGCGATAGACGCAAAGCAAGACAAGAAAAACGAAAATACCACTGGACTTCCACCACGGTTCAGGGAAGCATCGGGGAAGAAAACGGAAGGAGTTTGGTAAAGACAGTTGATGTTAAATTAGAGCAGTGAAAGGAGCGTATTTGATTGTTACTATAATTATTGAAGTCACATGCGAACCACCCCTCCCTCCAACAATCGCGAGTGAATGCACCTAAGAGATCTAGACACCCCCTAAACTGTATTTATAATGTTGCAAGTGACTAGCAAGTTATCAGTTCACGTCAACAAAAATCCAACTAAGTCACAAAAGCAATGTGCGTGTGAAACAATAAAACACCACATCACTGAGTGAGAATAAAAGGTAATATAATTTATAAAGATCTGAATATGAATACAGAAGCAGTCATCCAATCAAGAGACGCAAATGAGATGCTGTCCATGGTTCTGAAAGAGACGGTAAAGCGTGCCACAATTCACAATTGTTACTAAACACTTAAAGAAATGACGGCACAGAGATGCAGCTACATCATTTAACTGACCTCTAGAGGAGAGTCTGGTTCATCCAGGATGCTCTTTTCACTCTGTATCCGCTGCATCGTCCCTGTAGAACTGGGGTCCATTATCAGCACGTTCTGACTACCAGCTCTGCCGAACTTACAGTCACTCTTTCTGGAGTCAGTCGTCCTGCACACCTCGTAGTTGTACACGTGCTGGAGAGTCCCTGTCCCCAAAGTGTCTGAGTAACGTGGTGGATAATAGGGAATCACAGGGAGATTGGAGTGATACAGGACGCGAGACTGTCTCCATCTGTAGATTTTCACTGATATAATAACCACTAAACACGTGATGAAGAGGAAGGAAACTACAGCCAAAGCCAGCACTAAGTAAAAAGTCAGGTTGTCATTGTACTCCTTGTCGTGTGTAAAGTCAGTGAACTCCGATAGCACTTCAGGGAAGCTGTCCGCCACCGCCACGTTAACAATGACTGTAGCTGAACGAGAGGGCTGCCCGTTGTCCTCCACTATAACAGTCAGTCTTTGTTTCACAGCATCTTTATCAGTCACTTGGCGGATAGTTCTTATTTCTCCATTCTGTAAGCCCACTTCAAACAGCGCCCTGTCTGTGGCTTTCTGCAGTTTATAGGAGAGCCAGGCATTCTGTCCAGAGTCCACATCAACAGCCACCACTTTAGTGACCAGATAGCCCACATCTGCTGAACGAGGCACCATTTCAGCCACCAGAGAGCCACCAGTCTGGACTGGGTACAGAACCTGAGGGGGGTTGTCGTTCTGGTCCTGGATCATTATTTTCACTGTCACGTTGCTACTGAGTGAAGGAGAGCCTCCATCCTGCGCTTTGACTACTAGCTGAAGTTCTTTAATTTGTTCATAGTCAAAGGAACGAATCGCGCTAAGAACTCCCGTTTCAGAGTTAATGGATACATACGAAGAGACTGGGAGACCACCAATTTGCGTATCTTCCAAGAGATAAGAGATTTTCGCGTTTTGATTCCAGTCAGAGTCCCGTGCACGCACAGTGACCATCGACATACCAGGAGAATTATTCTCTGGAATCTCAGCAACATAAATGAATCTATCAAACAAAGGAGGGTTATCATTAATGTCAGAAAGTGTAAGACGCAACTTTATGGAACTTGAGAGAGGCGGGGAACCCGAATCTGTCGCAGTTATGGTAATGTTGTATTCTGGTGTCTTTTCACGGTCAAAAACTGATTCTGAAACGAGTGAGTAGTAATTAGTCAATGATGATTTGATTTTAAACGGTAAATTCCTATCTAGTGTACACGTGATCTGCCCGTGTCTTTCTGAGTCTGCGTCTTTAGCATTAAAAACAGCTATGGTCGAGCCAACCGGAGCATCCTCACGCAGAGGACTAGAAAAGGACATGACGCTTATAACTGGTGCATTGTCATTTACATCTACAATATCAATTATTACCTTACTGAGATCCGTCAACCCTCCTTGATCTTTAGCCTCAACTCTTATTTCATATTTTTTGTCCCTTTCAAAATCTGTTTGTCCAGAAACCGTTATTTTACCGGTGGTCTTGTCGATGTTAAATACGTCAGCCACATTTCCTTTCAAATTAGAAAAAGCATAAGTCACCATACCTTGTGATCCACTGTCAGCGTCTGTAGCATTTACGGTTAAAATGTGAGTCCCTAATGTTGCATTTTCTTGAACGGTAGCCCTGTACTCAGACTGATTGAATACGGGGGGGTTATCATTGGCATCTAACACGGTGATATCAATATTTACTGTACCAGATCTCTGCGGTGTTCCACCATCCACTGCTATCAGCCTAAACGAGAGGCGGGGTTGCTCCTCTCTGTCTAGCGGTTTCTGTAGGATTATTTCAGCAAATTTACTGCCGTCTGGGTTGGCGTGTTGTTTCAGGACAAAACTGTCGCTTGTGCTTAAAAAATAATTTTGTAGTCCATTAACTCCTACATCTGGGTCGTCTGCACTTTCCAATACGAAGCGAGAGCCAATTACAGCAGATTCGCTTATTTCCATTCGTATGTGGTTATTTCTAAACAAAGGCGAATGGTCATTTACATCCAGTATTTCGACCATTATACGATGCAACTCAATTGGATTTTCCAAAATAATTTCGAAGCTGAAACTGCATGGTGTGACGTCTCCACAGAGCTGCTCTCGGTCTACTCTCTCATTCACGGCTAAAATCCCTTTGTCTGTGTTCAGCTCGATGTATTGGGTGTTTTCTCCGGCAACAATGCGGGCCCGGCCAGAACGAAGCCTTTTCTGATCCAGACCAAGGTCTTGTGCTACATTGCCAATCAAAGAACCTTTCTTCATCTCCTCTGGAATAGAATAACGAATCTGGCAATTCACCACTGCAGTGACGAACAGAAAATAAGCAAATAGCCATCTGGGCCACCGCAAGCCTGCAGGAAAATGCCATTTAAAACGTTGCAATAATCCGACAGTAGCCATACTAGGCTGTAGAACAAGCGATCTCCACAAAAGGTAATCCTTAAGAGGCAAATACAACACTTGATAAATGTCAGAAAAAGGTCGAAAAACACTGCATAATTTCTAGAAGTATGTGGGCGGTGTACATCACCTCCTTTGCTCTTGAAGAAAAAGCCTCTCATCTAAATTGAGGCGATGGGGAAGGCAGTTATTGACAACACGGAAACATTTTTCATTGAGCAACAGCGTCCCTTAGAGGGTAAATCCTTTAAGATGATTTAAATTGTGATGGACTGCTCCCTGTCTAAAGCTCTAACAAAATGAAACGTGTGCACGGTCTGTGAAACTTGTGCATAATGACAAAAAGTCATATTCAAGTCAGTTGGTTACATTTATTGTTTAAAAACAACTCTTTTTTAGTTAACACATTATCAGTAAAGGAGTTTAATAATTATCTGTGCAAGTATCGAAGAGAAGATAAAAACTTTAAACGTTTGATTAGAGTGCTGTCCAAACGGCAGGTGCTGAAATATCCCTGATGGCACTGACTGTAATCCGCATTTGAAAAATGTACTTGCAAACCGATCATGAGAATTTAAATTTCCAAATACATACTAATTGCGCGATTAGCGATTGCATGAGACAAACATATTTTATCTTAGTTAAGAATAACCATGTATGTCAACATTTCAGACCAAAACAACTGACCTCTAGAGGAGAGTCTGGTTCATCCAGGATGCTCTTTTCACTCTGTATCCGCTGCATCGTCCCTGTAGAACTGGGGTCCATTATCAGCACGTTCTGACTACCAGCTCTGCCGAACTTACAGTCACTCTTTCTGGAGTCAGTCGTCCTGCACACCTCGTAGTTGTACACGTGCTGGAGAGTCCCTGTCCCCAAAGTGTCTGAGTAACGTGGTGGATAATAGGGAATCACAGGGAGATTGGAGTGATACAGGACGCGAGACTGTCTCCATCTGTAGATTTTCACTGATATAATAACCACTAAACACGTGATGAAGAGGAAGGAAACTACAGCCAAAGCCAGCACTAAGTAAAAAGTCAGGTTGTCATTGTACTCCTTGTCGTGTGTAAAGTCAGTGAACTCCGACAGCACTTCAGGGAAGCTGTCCGCCACCGCCACGTTAACAATGACTGTAGCTGAACGAGAGGGCTGCCCGTTGTCCTCCACTATAACAGTCAGTCTTTGTTTCACAGCATCTTTATCAGTCACTTGGCGGATAGTTCTTATTTCTCCATTCTGTAAGCCCACTTCAAACAGCGCCCTGTCTGTGGCTTTCTGCAGTTTATAGGAGAGCCAGGCATTCTGTCCAGAGTCCACATCAACAGCCACCACTTTAGTGACCAGATAGCCCACATCTGCTGAACGAGGCACCATTTCAGCCACCAGAGAGCCACCAGTCTGAACTGGGTACAGAACCTGAGGTGGATTGTCGTTCTGGTCCTGGATCATTATTTTCACAGTGACGTTGCTACTGAGTGGAGGGGAGCCTCCATCCTGCGCTTTGACGACAAAAGCCAGCTGTTTGATTTGCTCATAATCAAATGACCGCACTGCATGGATCACTCCGCTTTCTGAGTTTACAGAAACATATTCAGAAACTGGAGATCCACCGATATTAGTATTTTCCAGAATATAAGATATACGGGCATTTTGGTTTTCATCGGGATCTTTAGCCCTGACCGTGAGAACAGAAATACCTGGAGCGTTGTTCTCTGTGATAAACGCATTGTAAACACCTTCTGAAAATACTGGAGCATTATCATTCACATCAGATACCTTTAAATGAAATGTTCTTTTTGTTGAGAGAGGAGGAATTCCTGCATCTGTCACAACTACAGTGATGTTATACTCTGAAACACTTTCTCGATCTAATAAAGTATCTGTTACTAAAGTATAGTAATTTCTTAAATTGGATTTAATCTTGAACGGTGCATTTTGTTCGATTCTACAATTTACTTGCCCGTTATCTCCTGAATCGAGGTCTTTTACATTTATAATGCCAATAGTTGTGCCAGGAGGAGAGTCCTCTGAAACAGGACTTGTGAATGACATAACACTTATGACAGGAGAGTTGTCATTTATATCAATCACTTCAATTATCACTTTGCTTGAATCTGTCAAACCTCCTTGATCTTTTGCATCGATTCTGAGTTCGTACTTTCTATCTTTTTCATAATCAAGAGAACCTGATATTAAAATGATGCCAGTTTTTTCATCGATCATGAACAAATCACCGAGACCACTGTTAAGATCTGAAAAATAATATGTTACAATACTGTTTGTCCCGGAATCTGCGTCACTAGCGTTAACTGTGGTCACATATGTATCTCTGGGAGCGTTTTCCATTACTGTGGCTTTGTACACAGATTGATTAAATACAGGCGCATTATCATTGATATCAAGAACAGTGATATCTATATTTACTGTACCAGATCTTTGTGGAGTTCCACCGTCTACAGCTATTAGCTTTAGAGACAGATTAGGATTCGTCTCTCTGTCTAGAGGCTTCTGTAACACCATCTCTGCATATTTCTTTCCATCTGCATTAGAGTTTTGTTTCAGAACAAAATTGTCATTCTCGGTCAGAAAATATTCTCGGAGTCCGTTGATTCCCACATCGGGGTCTTCTGCACTGGCTAATGAAAAACGAGCCCCAGTATTAGCTGTTTCACTGATTTCAAAATTGATTTTATCTCTTTTAAAAGAGGGCGAATGATCATTTATGTCTATTATTTCAACAGTGATTTGATGAAGCTCCATAGGGTTCTCTAAAATCACTTCAAAGCTGAAACTGCATGGTGTTACGTCTCCGCAAAGCTGCTCCCGGTCCATTCTCTCTTTCACGACTAGAATCCCTTTGTCTGTCTTCAGCTCGGTGTACTGGATGCTCTCTCCGGTCACGATACGGGCCCGACCAGAATGGAGCCTTTTTAGATCCAAACCAAGATCCTGTGCTACATTACCGATTAGGGAGCCTTTCTTCATCTCCTCTGGGATTGAATATCGGATATGTCCGCTGACCAATTGGTTGAAATAAAAAAGGAAGAACAGAAGATGCCAAATCTGTCCGCAACAAATGCGCCATTTTACGCACCGAGTGGAGGCTCGTATTCCACACGTCATGGCAAAAGGAAATCACGGAGATATGCTCTGCAACGATCCAAGTACGACACTTATTCTGAAAAACTAAACTGAATGTACGTCTAAAGAAAAACGATGCTGACGTTTCAATGTACTGTATACATCAGAATGGAGATATCAATGAATGCGAGTCTGTTTTCCTCGAATGTCAGCCAATATAATGCACACCATCCCCCTTTCTCTCATAGGTGGTGAGGGAGGGGACTGTGAGGTAATGTTTTAGAGATAATGTTGGATTGACCAACAGCGTCCCTTAGAGTACAAAATCAGTAAAAGCATGCAACATAGATTTCTGGAAATAGACTGATTACATGTGGTTGGTGGATACTTAAAATATTATCTAAAAACATTTCAACACAGTATTCCGAAAAAAAACAAAACACAAAAAACATTGAAATCTAATTAATACAACACAGAGACTTAGTATCATAATCATCTTATGTAATTAGCACTAAAGAAATATATGGATAAAAACATCATTGCGATAGACGCAAAGCAAGACAAGAAAAACGAAAATACCACTGGACTTCCACCACGGTTCAGGGAAGCATCGGGGAAGAAAACGGAAGGAGTTTGGTAAAGACAGTTGATGTTAAATTAGAGCAGTGAAAGGAGCGTATTTGATTGTTACTATAATTATTGAAGTCACATGCGAACCACCCCTCCCTCCAACAATCGCGAGTGAATGCACCTAAGAGATCTAGACACCCCCTAAACTGTATTTATAATGTTGCAAGTGACTAGCAAGTTATCAGTTCACGTCAACAAAAAATCCAACTAAGTCACAAAAGCAATGTGCGTGTGAAACAATAAAACACCACATCACTGAGTGAGAATAAAAGGTAATATAATTTATAAAGATCTGAATATGAATACAGAAGCAGTCATCCAATCAAGAGACGCAAATGAGATGCTGTCCATGGTTCTGAAAGAGACGGTAAAGCGTGCCACAATTCACAATTGTTACTAAACACTTAAAGAAATGACGGCACAGAGATGCAGCTACATCTTTTAACTGACCTCTAGAGGAGAGTCTGGTTCATCCAGGATGCTCTTTTCACTCTGTATCCGCTGCATCGTCCCTGTAGAACTGGGGTCCATTATCAGCACGTTCTGACTACCAGCTCTGCCGAACTTACAGTCACTCTTTCTGGAGTCAGTCGTCCTGCACACCTCGTAGTTGTACACGTGCTGGAGAGTCCCTGTCCCCAAAGTGTCTGAGTAACGTGGTGGATAATACGGAATCACAGGGAGATTGGAGTGATACAGGACGCGAGACTGTCTCCATCTGTAGATTTTCACTGATATAATAACCACTAAACACGTGATGAAGAGGAAGGAAACTACAGCCAAAGCCAGCACTAAGTAAAAAGTCAGGTTGTCATTGTACTCCTTGTCGTGTGTAAAGTCAGTGAACTCCGACAGCACTTCAGGGAAGCTGTCCGCCACCGCCACGTTAACAATGACTGTAGCTGAACGAGAGGGCTGCCCGTTGTCCTCCACTATAACAGTCAGTCTTTGTTTCACAGCATCTTTATCAGTCACTTGGCGGATAGTTCTTATTTCTCCATTCTGTAAGCCCACTTCAAACAGCGCCCTGTCTGTGGCTTTCTGCAGTTTATAGGAGAGCCAGGCATTCTGTCCAGAGTCCACATCAACAGCCACCACTTTAGTGACCAGATAGCCCACATCTGCTGAACGAGGCACCATTTCAGCCACCAGAGAGCCACCAGTCTGGACTGGGTACAGAACCTGAGGTGGATTGTCGTTCTGGTCCTGGATCATTATTTTCACAGTCACGTTGCTACTGAGTGGAGGGGAGCCTCCATCCTGCGCTTTGACGACGAAAACCAGCTGTTTGATTTGCTCATAATCAAATGACCGCACTGCATGGATCACTCCGCTTTCTGAGTTTATAGAAACATATTCAGAAACTGGAAATCCACCGATGTTAGTATCTTCAAGAATATACGATAG